CATGATCGTAGAAAAGTTGAATTTAATTCTTAGCTATGGCTAAGATATTAATTAGGATATTTTCTCTTTTTACTGGCATCAGCTTCCAAAAAACTAGCACTGAAATACATGAAAATTGCCATAAAATATTATGCAAGTGAAGTGTTTATGCATACTTTTGTTTTGCAATATTTATGTTTGCTTGCACGCTGTTTCAATGTTTGGATTTAACTACCTGAGTTTTACTATATTTAAGTCGGTCAATAAATACAAAGTATAAGCATATTAAAATAGAGGGATTTATAGACAGCATTTTCCTATTAAGAATAATCAACAAAATCCTTGAAAATGAAATGAGCTGACAACTATAGCTGGAGCAGATGCATAAAGTACCGTTATAGCACATTGCACCATCAATTACGTGTCAAGCCTGCTGCCAAATATTAAGTGTTCTGACCTTTGTTATTAATAATAGAGGCAGACACTGGGGACACGTGAAAGACAAATAATGTAATGCATGGAAATGCTATTATAGATCTGATTTTCTTAATGGATATAGAGCCTGTTTAGTATTCTGCCCCTCCCCTTGCAAGCTATAATTTTATGAAAAACTGGACATACCATGTAATGGAAAGCCACATTGTGAAAAAAATACTTTGATAGAAGAAAATGTTCCAAAGTTAAATAATAGTGAGAGAGTGCTTGTCATCAAGCTTTACTGCTTTATTTAAATGTGTATTTGTCATCTCCCCTGTTCCTTGGGAAATAATGTGGAAGAAATAAAATGAAGCAAATTTCTTTACTGCATTTCCCATTCATTCTTGTATTTTAAAGTTGTTATTTTGCCCAGTATCATTTGTCATCTTGTAGGGATTGGCTAGTCAAAGGTTTAGTCAATGTCTTTCTCCAGAATACAGCTGCTAGCATTTTTAGGTGATCATGCAAGACAACGTTGATATGTAAAAATGACAAAAACAGTAGAATGACCAACCAAAGGACAGCGATAAACAGTTACGAAGGGAGTGGTGGTGTTTAAAAAACAAATAAATAAACAAACACCACCACCACCCCCCCCCCAAAAAAAAAAAAAAAAAAAAAAAAAAAAACAAAAAAACCCCCACAACCAACAAAAAAGGCACAAAACCCAACCCCATAACTGACTGAAAAGAGCAAAGAAAGTAAAAAATGTGGGACAGAGAAAACTCCTTCCTTTTCAGGCACTGATGGTACTATTTCCTGCTTCCTTCTCAATGTAGAATATAGATCCTGGGATGTCTTGTCAGGAAAACATTAAGCAGTTGGTCCAGGATTTCATGAGGAGTGCACTGCAACTGATTATATGAAAATCAATGGGCTGTTGCATTTATGAAAAAGCTTACTTTAGTCCTAACAGTTGTAGAATTTATCTTATTGCAATATTTTTTAACATTATATTACTTTCAGAAAATAGAATTTTTAATATTTTTTTTAATTACAGTTGAGAACAACAAGCTTGGTGACAGTAATTGTGTCTACAAACAGTATGTCTTTCTAAACTTCACTAATCTGGATTTGCATAAGATTAATGAAAAATTAGAGCTCCTCTGATTTGTAGTACATTTTTGTTGATGTTACTTTCTTTGTGTGTTGTCATAAATTTCTAATAGATGTTGAAGTCTGGATTTCCATTGCAAAACCATTTAGAGTTTTTTGGTTTTTTTTTTTGTGTGTGTTTCCTACACTAAAACCCAATGCATAATTAAGAAAGAGCAAAGAATTTGGAATGAAAGGTAGGGAGTGAGACAGTATATTTTTGTGAAATGAATGAAAATTTGGAAAAATCAAAAATGTTGCCGGACAACTGTTATATTTACAGAAGCAGTTGCATTCCTCTCTTAAAAAATTAGAAACTATTTTTAACAGTCCTTAAT